CTGCTCTTGTATCCATTTCCTGCATGCACTGTGCTATAGCAGCATTATGCTCTTCTAGCTCAGTGTTCTGCTCTTTCTCTGTTTCTTGAAGCTCCTCTACCTCTCTTGTATACTCTGGATCATTGATGACTGGAGAGGCAGCAGCAGATAACTCCCATTCTGGGTGCTCATCTAGCAGGGTAGGGTTGTGTCCACTTGTTCTATCTCTTGGTATAGGGATGTCAGAGCTGATTCGCAGCCCTGTATTGATAGGTGTTGGGCATGGTGTGTCTCCAGGGAGGAGAGGCTCATAGGCAATGAACTCAGGAGGGGCTTGAGGCTGCTGTCTTTGCAGTTTGCGTTGTTGGTCACGTTGCTTTCTTGCTGCTTTGCTCTCAGCTGTAGTAGCATACCTTCTGGGTCTTCCTGAAGGCATGGTGACAGCTGTAAAGTTTGTGTCATAGAGGAAAGTTGCCCAAAAAGTAAAATTTTCAGGGGTCACCAAAATTCCCAATTAGGTTAGTAGGGGTCACCAAAATTCCCAATTGGGTATACAATCACAGTAAACAGATAATTCAGCTACAAACAAGAGAATAAGATATAAAACAGATGCCATCTGTTCCAGAATGACTGTAGGCATATAGCTAGCCTTTGACTATTGCTTTATTGCCCTTGTGCTGATGCAATACCTGATGTTGGTCAGGGGGTCACCAAAATTACACTTAAGGTTAGTGCATTTTCAAAGCTGACCTTACCAAATTGGGTTGTCAACCTCAGGTACCCCAACTTTAAACAGCAATAGTACAATAACCATAGCATACAGAGCTTAGCGGAGGGTACCATTGTGCTCAGGGAGCTCTGTTCTATCAGCTGACCTTAAAAGATCAACTATTTTTTTCCTAACCCTGACCCCCATTTGCTCATTCATTTTCCTAACCCTTACCCCCATTTGCTCATTCATGTTCTCACAGACACAGACGCAGACGCAGCACGCACTTGCAGCCCCGTCCTCCCAGCCAGGCGAAGTGGATGGCGCATTCCGCTACGCTTGGGCATGGTGTAGAGCTTTTGATGAAGTGGTCCAGTCGGTGCAGATCAAGTACAGGTGGGCACAGGTGCTCTTGGGCAAGGCTATGACGGGCAAGCTGGCGCAGCTTGAGCACAGTGACAGGCTCTTCAGCAATGACAAGAAGAGTCGTTTTGGCAAAGGCCCGCGCAGGAAGGAGGCCATAGATTACCTGCTGCAGTTGGTGAGCCCAGACCACAAACCCTCCAAGAGAGACCGGGACGCCTTCAAAGAGCGCATCAACAGAGCGGTCAGATGGTACAGGGTTGCTGAAGGCCTGGGCTGGGGCGTGTTGCTTGTCATGCCTGAAGACATGATACCCAAGACCTGGGTAGAGAAGAACATCCGCACCTGGGGCATCGACATCTTCATTGACCTGGTCAAGAGGGAGCGCCCAGATGTCTGCCTTGCAGCCAAGCAGTTCGATGAGTGGCTGGGCCCAGAGGGCATTGCAGGTGGCAACATCAACAGCAAGAAGATGCTGAGCATTGAGCTGAGAGACACCAGCACAAGTCGCCAGCTTGTAGAGGTGGAGGAAGTGGGAGACAGCGAGGATGAAGAAGCAGGTGACAACAGCAGCAGCAATGGCAATGCAGACAGCGATACAGACCGGGACAGCGAGGCATGCGTTGAGATTGCCCAGTTGCAGATCTGCTTGAGGAGCGTGCCTGCTGCTCCCCTTTGCCAGACTACGCTGCCTGATCTGTTCAAGATGATACCGTGAGGCAAATGGGGCAAGTGTGCATGTTTGGTCTGCCTGCAAGCCTTTGACTGTTGGCGGTGCAGGTGCGCAGCCTACCAATGCGCGTCCACGTAGGTAGTCACACTTGAAAAGAAGTTGCGCAGCTACTGCAGCTGCTGTTTTGGTTGCTTGCATTGCATGGTTGAGTAGTCGGTCTAGTTGTTTGGTTGCAGAGTTGAAGCAGTCAGTTGCACTGCAAGGCTTGCTTACGGCTGCAGGGCTCGCTTACGGTCGCAGGGGCCGCCGAACACCAACTTGCGGCCACAACACAACACCATCAACTTTTCATCAATGCCAATGTTGCACAGCAATTGTGAAGAGTGCAAAATGTGCACAGAGTCGTGTTGCACCTTGCTGCAGACTTGCAGCCATATCTGAGGCTTGCTTGGGGTCTATACGGATTGTTGCAGTTGTAAATCGTAAAGGGTTGGGCGCAGGGGTCCTGCTAGCGCCGGGTAAAATCGTATAGGGTCTATACGGATATTGACTAGTAGTTAGTCTTAGGGGCTAGTCTAGTCTAGGTGTAGTGTCTTGGGACTTGGCGCAGTTGCTCATCTGTCAGATGAGGAACTGCATAATCCCCTCCAACACCAACTATTTCTCCAACACCAACTATTTCTCCAAGACCAACTACATTTGCAACCTCCACTGCCTTTCCTCTTGCATCACTCTTGCCTATGCAATTGTGTTTACTGAATGGTTGAATTGGGAGATGCTGTGGCATGACAGTCTTAGGGGCTAGTCTAGTCTAGGTGTAGTGTCTTAGGACTTGGCACAGTTGCTCATCTGTCAGATGAGGAACTGCACAATCCCCTCCAACACAAACTATTTCTGCAACAACAGCCTACAGAGAGCAAGGAAAAGCTTTTTCTTGGTAGTAGTAAACACTGTAGGCAAAGAGGTACCTACCCTATACAGCAGACAGCAATATTATATAGTTGTTGTGGTTGAAAGTTGTTGTGTTGTGGTTTCAGCATTTTATTCATTTTGGGGTTAGTGGTATACTAATCAGGAAGGCAAGCCAACAACAGCATACAGACAGCAAGGAAATGGTTGTTTTTTGTAGCAATAGATACCATAGGTCTACAAGTAACTTCCCTGTGCAAAAATAGCAATATTATGTAGTTGTTGTTGATGTACAGGCTGTTGGGTTAGGTGTCAGCATTTTATTCATTTTGGGGTTAGTGCAGTCTTGGAGCAACCTTACCATAACAGGAACTACACCACCAACCCCCATATCTTTAACCACGAATAGCGCTACAACCACAGCACCTACAGCTTAGTGGAAGGTACCATTATACTTGGCAAAGTTACCTCTATCAAGCTCTACCAAAAGAACCTCAACTTTTTTCTTGAACCTAACCCACATTTCAACACTTGAGTGTGCTGAGTCCCTGCGGGACTACACGTTATCGGAGCGCTTTTGGTCCAAGGCGTTACACAGCGCCTGCTCCTGCTCCATCGACCAAAAGCCAACGTCCTCTTTACCAAGCACCTGCTGCATTGCCTGGCGGATTGCTGTCTCCTTCACATTGCTGACTCGGAACAGCTTTTGCTGCTTCACAAGCGCCCTCCCCTCTCCCTTGTTGCCTTGATGCTCTTCGTCATCGCTGCGCTCTCGCCGCTTTCTGGCTTGTCTTGGCTTATCTGCAGTTGCGTCTGCTGCCTGCATCTCAGGCTGCTCTGCCCCTCACCTATCCAGACCCAGGAAGTGGTGTGGTTGCGCAGATGCGCGTCAAGATTCTTTACTGCTGTAGCATGTTGCTTGCAGACAATGACAGCATGCGCAGCCAGATAGCAGATTGCATCTTTGATGGAGTAGTATGAGTGCAGTGCTTGATGGGTGGGTGTGATGTCTGTTGTTGTTGTTGTTGTTGTTGTTTGCACTGCAGACAGTCGTGCATGCCAGCAGAACTCCATCCCTTAAATCCCAACCAAGACTGCTCCAATGGGGTCAAAAGTGTGCTACAATGTAGCGCTGAGGCAGAGAAGATAATTAAAATGATGAAATTGATGTAAAGTGGTGATGTTGACAGTGAGTCGACCAAACAAGTTGGGGGTGCAAAACTGCTGTTATCACAGCTATTTATCACAGCTCCATGCTGACAATGTCGAGGGGGTTTGGCTAGTGAGGTAGGTTTAGCCGCAAGTACTCAAAGGCGTGCATCACAACAGCCAGACCAGTTACACAGAATCCAAGGCAAGATTCGGAATCAGCGTACAATTCTGCACAGGTTGGCCTTCTAGAATTGTTTTATTAGGCTCTCCAACGCCTGCGAGTCCGCCCCACGAGTCGGGGGGTCAAAGGTTTCTGCTTTGGGCTCACGCTAAGCCCACATTAAGCCCAACTCGGCACGAGAGAGGCCTCTCTCATCTCCTTGTATTAGTTAGGGTATGGCTAGTGAGGTGGGTTCAGCCACGGGTATTCAAACGCGTGCATCGCAGCAACCAGACCAGCTATGTAAAATCCGAGGCCAGATTCGGAATCAGCGCGCGATTCCGCACAATATGGCTTACTAGAATAGGTTTATTAAGCTCTGCATCATCCCGCGAGTCGGCCCCACGAGTCGGGGGTCAAATACTTCTGTTTTGGGCAGAGAGGCCCTAACGCTAAACCCATTTGGGCGCGAGTCGGGGGGCGACTCGCGTGTCCTCTCGGGTAGGCTGCAGAAGCGCGTTGATTACACTGTATTTGACGTGTATTAAGAGATGAGATAGCAAGCTGAATATCTGCTTCATTTGATAGCAATTGAGTAATGTTGCATGGAGCCATTGTACACTGAGATAGGAGAGGTGGGCAAAGTTGGTGGGGTGCATGACTCCCTTGTATACGCGGCTCGCTTGTAATCTACGTTAAGGATTTTTGGAATACCATGTACATCAGGTGATCCTGGAAATCCGCAGATTCCACGCATATATATCATTATACCTATGTATATTGAGTCACACTTCCAAGACAATAGATCAGAGGAAGAACATCAACATGCAACAACGCATATTCCCCCTATACAGGGCAGCATTACTACTAGACAAGTAGAGAGGATAGAGATAGAGTCTACATAGTAGGCTGAGGCTTATGTGTATCTTAGAGCCGGGCCATACGTCTCTGCGTTGTGCGCCAGCAGGTCTGACTGTTTGATGCCATGTCACATGATGTACATGGTATTTCGAAAATCACCCATAGCCCGTTCATACGAAAGTATCGAGCACGACCGCAGCGCAGCAAGGGGGAAGGATTCGACGGACTCTGCAAAACCGTGAGATGCGATTCCATCTTTCAAAGACTTAATAGAGCGCATACCTTTTATTGACAGAGTCCCATTTAGTCGTGTAAAGTCTATGCCGTGTTGGGGGTCAACGGCGATCGCAGGTGGAAGGATCCGCTGACTTACACACCCATTATCTCCGCCATCATCACTACTGCGAGGGTGCTGGTGCCGTATGCGGGGGCGAAGGCACGGCGAGATCGCGTGACCGAGATCATGAAAAAAAAGGTTACCCCTGCCAGGAGGCAGCGACGAGCCAATTCAAACTTATCAAGGAGACCACAAACCGCTTCGTAACGTCGACCATCTACAGCGGCATACCCAGCCCGATGAACTGGTTTATGCGGCTGCAGACGTGTGGCTTGAAGATCCAATTCAACACCACAACGCGAACGGCGCGATCGACTGGGTGGGTCCAAGCTGTGTGGAAGGTTTGAGAGGGTTGAGTTGATTGATCTTCTGAGCTATTGGCTGGAATCGATCGAGACTATATAGTAGAAGGGGATAGCAGTGAAGGGTTGGGGAAGCAAACCAGACTAACCGAATGAGCTGGACAATCAGTGCAGCGGGCCGTTGGCAAACACTGCAACGGGCCGCTGGTAGACACTGCAACGGACCGCTAGCAAACAAGCTGTCGTACAGCCCTACTACGGTGACAGGCATAGGTAGTGTAGATGGGACCCGGAGTGGCTAGTACTTACTATGAGTACGTGTCAAGTAATTAATCTTAACAGCATCTCAGAGGCGACTAGGAGAATAGTCAGTAGATTAAACTTCCCCTATTGGCTTAGATAAAAGGTAGGGGGGCTTTTGTCTTCAGATCTTGCCCCTTGGACGCCGTTCCCCTCCCCACCTACACTACTTATGCCTGATACCAGAGTAGGATCAAACGGAAGTAGCAGCCTCGCGTACGCCTGTGAGTATTACCGTGTTAAGTCCAAAAAGCGCCGCAAAATGACGGCACTGCTCGCGCAACAAGCCGCGAAGTACGTTAGCTGCACTGGCTATTTCCATCGATGTGCGTAATAACCACGGAGCCTCCCTTGCTGCACGGTTGCGGCACAGTCAATCACAGGCCAGGTGGGTCAGTCGTGACCGGAACCGAAACCGGTTCCTGCACCTCGATTACTGCTTAAAAACGTGCTTACGAGATAGACTTTAGCCTTTGCAGGGGTGGCACTTGTGGAAAGCTATGCCGTATGTACCCGAGGCATTTTTTTATAAGGGTGCGGCTCGGCCGTCCTCACTGCTTGTACTGGCGATTCACTCCATTTACCGCTACCTGAAGCTGGCATACTGCAACTAAAATATGCCTCCTATATATACCGCTTCTGTATACACCCTTAGACTATACTTCTCACTTTACTTTGCTTTGACAAGAGGAGCCGGCCAGAAGGTCTGTTGAAACGGCGACAGACGAGGAAAGCGGCATGCGCAAAAAGAAACGCGGCGAAGCGGGATGTCCAGCCTTGTAATTCGTAACTTGAGGAGGTAAGCTTGCAGTTTTCTCCAATAAGAGTTTACATACTCGGCATAATCCGCGTTTGATTTTGGTTCGTTGTGGAAGGCATGAACGGTTTCTAACCTAAACGAATCGTAAGACTAGATTCGCTTTGCTACTAGGTGAACGAAAAACAGCGATCAGAATTATAGGTTTTCGATGATTAGAAAAGCAGGGATACACCTGGGGAGATAGGCAGACTTGCGGTGGACCGTGTTTTATGCCAAGCGGGAAATGTATGCACAGCCTTAATGCTGTATGCAAATAGGCAACTGCACAAGGCTGAAGAGAAGAAGTTAAAGGAACAAGTCGAAGCAGAGCGCCCCCCGGAGGACAGTAGAAGAAACCCTTCGCAATAACCGAGTCGGCAACCGCGAATACTGTATCGGTATACTGAAGGACAGGATAATCAAAACAGAAGATTGAGTACCACTGGTCATCGGGAAGTGGCTCTTGGACCATGTCGAATTTTGAAGGAGCAATCCAGGTGGCTCGACAAGCTGTCGATGCAACTCCAGAAGATCACCCTGAACGCTCAGCACGACTGAACGATCTTGGAAACTGTCTTGGCAGCAGATACTCGAGGACAGGAGCGATAGCCGACCTTGAAGAAGCGATCCAGATTGCTCGACAAGCTGTCGACGCAACTCCACAACACCATCGTGACCGCGCAGCACGGCTGAATAATCTTGCACTCCATCTAGGCAGAAGATACTCAAGGACAGGAGCGATGGCCGACCTCGAAGGAGCTATTCAGATTGCTCGACGAGCTGTCGATGCAACCCCAGAAGACCACCCTAACCGTGCAGCACGGCTGAACAATCTCGGAAACCGTCTTGGCGGCAGATACTCGAGGACAGGAGCGATAGCCGACCTCGAAGAAGCCATTCAGATTGCTCGACAGGCTGTTGCTGCAACTCCAGAAGACCATCCTAACCACGCAGGATGGCTTAACAACCTCGGAAACCGTCTTGGCGACAGATACTCAAGGACAGGAGCGATGGCTGACCTTGAAGAAGCGATCCAGATCGCTCGACAAGCTGTCAATGCAACTCCAGAGGACCATCCTGACTACGCAACATGCCTGAACAATCTTGGAAACAATCTTGGCGACAGATACTCGAGGACAGGAGCGATAGTCGACCTTGAAGAAGCGATCCAGATTGCTCGACAATCTGTCGATGCAACTGCAGAAGGCCATCCTAACCACGCAAGATGGCTGAACAATCTTGGACTCCATCTTGGCGACAGATACTCAAGGACAGGAGCGATGGCCGACCTCGAAGAAGCGATCCAGATTGCTCGACAAGCTGTCGCTGCAACTCCAGAAGACCACCCTGACCAAACAGCATGCCTGAATAATCTTGTAGTCTGTCTTGGCGACAGATACTCAAGAACAGGAGCAATGGCTGACCTCGAAGAAGCCATTCAAGTTGCTCGACAAGCTGTTGCTGCAACTCCAGAAGACCATCCTGATCGCGCAGAACAGCTTAACAATCTCGGAAACCGTCTTGGCGACAGATACTCAAGGACAGGAGCGATGGCTGATCTTGAAGAAGCCATTCAGATTGCTCGACAAGCTGTCGACGCAACTGCTGAAGACCACCCTAGCCGCGCAGCATGGCTAAACAATCTTGGAGTGCATCTTGGCGGCAACAGATACTCAAGGACAGGAGCGATGGCCGACCTTGAAGAGGCCATCCAGATTGCTCGACAATCTGTCGATACGACTCCAGAAGACCATCCTGACCGCGCAGCACGGCTGAATAATCTCGGAAACCGTCTTGGCGGCAGGTACTCAAGGACAGGAGCGATGGCTGACCTTGAAGAAGCTATTCAGATCGCTCGACAAGCTGTCGACGCAACTGCAGAAGACCATCCTGAACGCGCATCACGGCTGAATAATCTCGGAAACCGTCTTGGCGGCAGATACTCGAGGACAGGAGCTATAGCCGACCTTGAAGAAGCGATCCAGATTGCTCGACAAGCTGTCGCTGCAACTCCAGAAGACCACCCTGACCGCACAGCGTGCCTGAACAATCTTATAGTCCGTCTTGGCGACAGATACTCAAGGACAGGAGCGATGGCTGACCTTGAAGAGGCCATTCAAGTTGCTCGACAAGCTGTCGATGCAACTGCAGAAGACCATCCCGACTATGCAAGATGGCTGAACAATCTCGGAGTCTGTTTTGGCATAAGATACTCGAGGACAGGAGCGATAGACGACCTCGAAAAAGCGATCCAGATTGCTCGACAGGCTGTTGCTGCAACTCCACAAGACCACCCTGACCGCGCAGAACGGCTTAACAATCTAGGAAACCGTCTTGGCAACAAATACTCAAAGACAGGAGCGATGGCCGACCTCGAAGAATCTACCGTGTGCTATGAATCAGCTCTACAATTCACTGAAGCTTCAATCGATACACGCATGGCCGCTGGCATTCTACTTTTTCAATCATGTGCTCAAGTATCAGATTGGGAACGAGGCTCCAAGTATTCCGCAATGGCCGTCGAGCTTGCTCCTCAGCTGATTGCGCGCTCGCTGAAAAACGCAGACAAACAATACAGGCTGAGTCAGATTGCTGGTTTGGCTTGTGATGCGAGTGCAGCATCTTTGAATGCAGGAAGGGTGCTGCTCCTCGCGCTAAACCTGCTTGAGCAAGGACGGGGCGTGTTAGCGGCATCTCTTCACGAGATGCGGACAGATGTTCTCGATCTTCAAGCAAAACATCCTGAGCTAGCTGAACGCTTTGTTCGCCTTCGAAATGAGCTGCAGCCGCCCGTTACGGAGCCTATGCTTTCCTTAGAGCAAAGTCGCATGCCTTTTTTGAAAACACAAGCAGATCGACGTCATTTCGCGGGTAGTGAGCTTGATAGGCTGATTGCCGAGATTCAGCAACAGTCTGGGTTCGAAGACTTTCTGCGACCTCCGAGTGAGGGAGAGATATTGGATGCAGGCCAACATGGACCTATCGTGGTCATCAATGTTAGCGAATACCGCTGTGATGCATTCCTTATTGATCAGCATCGAATACAGACCGTGCCATTACCTAATTTTACCTACCAGGGAATCAAGGAGAAGGTCCAACAAGGAAGCTTGGGGACCCCCCAGGTACTTGAGTGGTTATGGGATGTTGTTGCACATCCGGTCCTAGACGCACTAGGATTCACAGAGCCTCCGCCTGACGAGAAATGGCCACACGTATGGTGGATTCCAACCGGCCCTCTGAGCAAGTTTCCCCTTCATGCGGCAGGTTATCACGGCAAAGGCTCGAATCACACCGTTTTGGATAGAGTCATGTCCTCCTACAGCTCCTCTATCAAGGCAATTATACACGGACGCCGGCGCCGCAATCTACAAGACGCTTCAAAGACCCCAAACCGGGCACTTCTTGTTGCTCTTGAGGTTACTCCCAATCAAACTAGACTTCACTTTGCAGCGAGGGAAGTCCAGATACTGTACAATCTTTGCGAATCGTCAGACTTGCATCCTGTTCAGCACCGGCCGCGAAAGGAAGATGTCGTTTCGCAGTTACCGAGTTGCAAAATTTTCCACTTCGCTGGTCACGGTTATACAAACAATAAGGACCCCTCGCAAAGCTCCTTACTTTTGGAGGATTGGGAGAGCGACCCTTTAACAGTGGCTGACTTGCTGGAAATGAATTTGCGCGAGCGCGCTCCATTCCTCGCTTACCTCTCGGCTTGCGGAACTGGAGAGATAGGAGACGAAAGGTTCCTTGATGAGAGCATCCACTTGATCAGTGCATGCCAACTCGCAGGATTTCGCCACGTCATTGGGACGCTGTGGGAGGTTCACGATGAGATTTGTATGGACATGACGAGAATTACGTACGAACAGATAAGGGACGGAGGTATGACGGATGAGTCCGTTTGCCTGGGGCTCCATAAAGCTACCAAAGAACTTCGAGACCGCTGGTTTGCAAAAGTGGTTAGTCGCGGACGCGAGTTAGGAAATAGCGCACACGAGACTGCAGTTGAACATGAGATGGAGGCTATAACTCTCGATGGTACCGGTTCTGTTAGCACCAGGTTGCCGAGGAAAGCTGCTTTACTAAGAGAGGCGCCGCTACACTGGGTACCTTATGTCCATTTTGGTGTATAATACAAGATGAACTTGTTTATTATTGTATTAAACGAGAATTCTTGTACTGTTCAGAACATCACTGTTTGTTACACTTTTGCCTCCCCCATCTCTTGTTTAGAGAATTTCTTACTTACTCGTCGTCGTAATGAGCTCAGGAAATCGTAAGAATATGAGGGAACGTACTACACTTGCACTTAAGTCTGTCTGAGGAAAAACATATGATCTTGAAGGTATTTACTTAGTTTCTACTCGTACATTGCCTATCCTCCAACACCACTCGCGCTTATATCTGAGCTCGACACGAACACCACTAAGACGGTGGTATAACTTTGCAATAGTTAGATCCTCTAGGTTGATACAAACGTACTTGTATACACTTACGTAGCTCCTGCTAAAAAAAGCTCATTTGTTCTCTTGGTGACAACGCCTGCTAGCACAAGGAGGAAGACGATAAGCGAGAACACAATCACACCCAGTCGGGCTGATGAGCTTTCTATCGAGCGACATACGATGATTGGCAGTGATAAAAAAACAATTATAAGGAATACTACCAGGACGCGTGCTACGCTTCCTACAAAGGCGGTGGTGGAGATGAACACTTTCGGATCACTGGAGAGCCTAGGGTATGCACTACGCTATGCACTTGATTAGTTGCTAGTTAGTTCAGTATACACGGGAGATCTCTCACCTTCTGAAGTTTTTGCACCATCCATCCTAGACGATCTTCCACCCAACCTTCGAATCGCGCTGTTGCATCATCTTCCGTAGGCACCAATCGACGCAAATCGTTGCAATGAGCCAAGAAATCTGACTCTTCCCAGCTCAAACAACCATTTCCCTCGATCCAGTTCTGCAAGCTGCGTACGTCGCGCCTCTTTGCCGACTCACCGCTTAACATCCGGGAGCTTCTCTCCACAAAATCGTCTATAAATGCATCAGCTTGCGGTATTTGATAACCCTTACACTCGGAGCCTTGTACCATAATCTGCTAGCGCTGCATCTACCTCCAGAAGCAAAGCAGTACGCTTCTGGTTCTGATCGTCTCGGCTACTTCCCAAAAAAAGAGGAGACCGCTCTGATTCATCAACGCTATCCAACTGCTGCTCTAGCATCGATAATCTATCCTGCTTTAGAAGCAAGACGCGAGTGCGTAAGCGGGCAAAGCGGCGATACATCTGGAACGAGTGGTGGGCGCCAACAAGCGCTGCAAACCGTGGATATCCGGCCCGGTAGCTCTCCACTGTCGACTTGTTAGCTGTTCAGCCTCTCTAATTGCAGTCAGCGTGGCACATGCTGTACTAACCTTCTCTTCCTGTCAAGGTACAGCCATGATAGTTATGTTGATCGAAGAAGCGAGAAACACTTGAGCTCAAGATAGATTCCAAAAGAGATTTGAACATAGCATAGGTGTTAGACTGATCCGACATCAGTACAGCACTAGAACATGGCATACAAAACAAGGAGAATGAAGGAAGGATCAGTTTGTCCAAAAGTCGTTGTGAGATCAGTCATGTTTTTAGTCTGCATGCGAGCCGCAGATCTGATCCACGTGGTGACAATCCATGTAGCCGCCTATATAGCCGCGCTATGAGGCAGTGTTCTCTAGCGCAGCCATACATGCAGCTAGTCAGAAGTGCTTAACCACTACTGGTTAGAAACTCGGTTCCCTTTTTGTCAAGCCTGGTCAGGTGGCGGCAAGCTTCTGTTCATGACTGTGCAGATGCCTTCAGTGCTTACGCCAACGCACTATCTATGCCAGTATACCTTTTACAGCAAATATCTTCACATAAAGTGAAGTGTTGAGCCTTGGTTAGGTCTTAGAACGTACGCGTCTAAATGTCAATATGTCCAACCTAGCGCGGTAAGAGACGACCAAGATCAAGCACACGCAGAGTCTAATCTAAGCGACGATCAGTTCCCCGAGCCCTGAGTTTACCTTCGATGATTCTGGTCGTCCATTCGTCCAAGAGTACAGTTCGGTATGTTCCTCTCAACACGTTAGCCCTTTTTTCTGATTGTAAAGCAGTCAAATAAGTTCAGACCGGGCCAGAAAGTCAATCTCCACATCCCAGGGCAAGCCACACCTGAAGGGCCCTACAAGATAGAGACCTCCGCTGGCGCCCGCAAATATACTCTGTGCTCGCTTGATGGTCAGCAGCAGGTCAGGAATGGACAGATCATAGACGAGGATAATTTGGCTGAGGCTTAGAGGGTTATGCCCAAGTTCGAGGTTGATGTATAGCTATGGCTGATTTGATGAGCTTTTTGAGGCTCTCGATACTCTGCATGTTCATTGCGTGTTATGAAAATCTCCTTATACCTTTCTATCGATTTAATTGCCTTATTATTGTTGCTCTGCCGATTGCCTCGAGTTCTGCGTCAGGTACTACACTAGTCGTATTTGCTCATCTGACCCCGATCTACAAACGTTGACTGTTTACCTTTTAACAGAATTTCAGTAGTTCCTACGATGACATTAGTCAATATTCATTAGAACAAGTATCGGTGCTTGCAAAAATGTGCAGGCCTCCTGACCTTGGTACAGTGATGCGTACAGTAGGTACGTACCGTGGTTCATGAGGGCGGACAGCCTTGTGAGTGGCCGCTCACCACGTTGTTGCCCTGCAGGACATGTACCAGACTGTCAATTCTGTCAACCAATATAGAAACAGCCACTTAGAAGCCTTTGTTCTTACATAACGTAAGTCCGTCGCAGTAGTGAACCAAGTTCAAGGGGGTCTGTACATTTCAGCAACTATTGTAATCGGTACAGAATAACACAAATGACAGATACTGAATTTCGTAGTCTGCCTTTGTTTGAATCAAGTTAATTCAACGCAATTCCTTCGCCCTACACGGCTGTCAAAGATCGGGATCTGTCGCTTCATGCGCCAGCTGTTGCATACCATCATGATGAAGATTGGTCAGGCTAGATCAGGTAATTATAGGGAGGAAGCGCGATTAGGACGATGGCTGAAGCAAGCAACCAGGCAAGTAGCAGCAAAAATGGTGAGAACATTCACAGCCTGCTTGTGGCTATCACTGTCGTCGGATGTCGATACTGCGCACAACCATCTCCAACAAATGTGAAGCCGCCCCTGCAGGATACATCACCGTGAGTTGGTTTGCGCTGGGCCAATGATCTTTGCTGTAGCATGCTTCCACGTTTTGACTAACGCAATAATGACCTGTCGATGCGATTATAGGCTTGGCACAGCGCGGGGCTGCACAACCCGCAATCTGACGTAGGCTGAATTTCAGCACACGTCAGATTGCTGAATGTTCAGCTACAACCCTCCCACTCATAGTCAAAAGGACCTTACCCAAGGTTCGACTTGCCAGCTAGCGTAAATTATAGTTGATCCTTTATCTCCTTGGAACAGTGTTGTTTTATTATTTCTGGTGGTTACTTAGTTATGCGAGCTGCTAAGTGCCTGGGAGGATGTTACTTGAAAATTCGATGTTGATCACTCTTCACCGGTGGTCGTCTGGTGTGCCATGCCAAGCTGCAACCTATCGACCGGTGAAACCGAATGGGCGGAGGCATGATGCGCGCTACGATTTCTGTACTAGAGCCATATGCAAGTCGAACTCAATCCAATTGGACGTCTTACACAGAGCCGATTCTAGAGTTCTCAAGATTACTGTAAGTAGAGTATCTCTTTCCCTCTGATTTCTGCTAGTTTAGGCTTCGTCTTAGATGCATGTTGCTCCTCTGGAGGTCATCGTTTTCTATGTTCGGCTATGTATTAATCCCCATGCTAAACCAGCAATTTCAAACCGATGTCTGCCTCAAACCTGGAACAGGGAACCACTGCTGCGCATTATGCCATCCTGATCGGTATCAATCGCTATCCCAAGGATTCGCTGAAAGGCTGTGTGCGGGACGTGCATGAACTCAAGAAACGCCTGGAATCTAGCTCGAAAGCCGTCGATATCCGCGTTTTCACCGCGAGCGAAGGGGAGACATCGAGTGTTCTCCCAGTGAGAGCTCCAAATCTCCTGCCGACGTACGGGAATATAACAACCTCCTTCGAGCAGATCACATCTTCAGCAAAGTCTGGCGATTTCGTGTACATACACTACTCTGGACACGGAACCACAATTTCTCAAATCAACAACTTGCCGAATGATAGTCCTCACGATCTTGCATTAGTTTTGATTGAGCTCAATCCTACATTCCAGCCCAGATACTTCCATGGCTTGGACTTGGCAAGTCGAATCAAGCGTATGGTGGAAAAAGGAGTGACGGTAACTCTTGTCCTGGACTGCTGTTTCTCTGGTAACGCAGTTCGAACGGACGCCCGGGCACGGTATTTGGACTATGATCCTGCAGTGGATGCAGCCTATCCTTGGAGCCCTGTCACAAGACCAAACGCGGAAAATGACCCATCAGCCTCAACCTACCGTGCAGGTTCGATGCGTCCCAATTGGTTGGTGAACCCTAATCGATATACTATCCTTACCGCATGCGGTCCGACCGAGATAGCTAAAGAGATCACCCTTGGTAAGGATGGTCTAAGCCACGGTGCACTATCTTATTTCCTATTGCGGACATTCCACAAACTTGGTGGCGTTGGGGGGCGGCAGGAGCACATCTATCACCACCTACGTGCAAGATTCAAAGGATTCGAGAAGAGTCGCATGAATATACAGAACCCAGTGTTCTATGGAAACAAGAATCTCTGCTTCTTCGGTAGTGTTGACTTAGAGAACCGACCAGCGCCCGTCCCAATCATTAGAAGAGCGAACGGTACATTGGAGCTCGAGGCAGGAGAGGCTCATGGCATCTCTAAAGGCGACGGATTCATTTTATGTCCTTTGGATCACGCTACACATGATTCCGTTCCAGATACCGACGCAATTCCCGCTACAATCAAAACAGTTGGGGCGCTTGTGTCCCAGCTGGAAACAGATATGGCAGATGCCCAGTGCCTTCACATCGAAACAGGGTGGATAGCAACACAGGTCACCTCCCTAGCGCTTCGAAAATTTCCTGTGCGGCTACAATCCGATCTCGCATATCCTGCCGAAAGGGGATCTGCTCTTCAAGATTTGAACTCGCTCAACCTCCAAAGCTTTGACGCGGAGCTAGCACAATCACCATCTTTCACAATCAAGAGTGAGAGCGACGGTACATGTTCGATCTATGACGAAGACAGCCATGACATTACACAGTTGCATTTTAAAAACTCGGATCTACAAGGCGCTAAAATGCACATATTAGCCGTGCTTGAACACATGGCCAGATTCAAGTTGGTACGAAGTCTCGCCAATAAAACGTTGCTAGACCCCGGACACCCTTTCACGACTGCATTCGATGTCTGTTTAACAAACCAAGCCGGTATATCCCGTCGGCCAGGCTGCCTACAAGAAGGATGGCTACACCGTGGGTGCCGCCACTCTGGTTGCGCGTTTGAAGTTGAAGATGGTGATTGGATCGAGTTCGCAGCAACCAACACGGCTAAAGGCTATGACAACCTATATCTCCACATCTACAACACAGACTCTTGCTGGGCTGTGGAGAATCTCCTAAAAGCTAACCATGTGGTACTTCCGAGCTACCGAGGAGTTTGGAGGCAGAAGATAGTAATGACTGTTCCAGAAGAAGCTACAGAAAAAGGTCAAAAGTTCTGCGAGGACGTCATCAAGGTCTTTCTCACCGCTCAGTCCACATCATTCATGTCTCTGGAACTCCCGGAACTTGCTACGCCATCGAACTATTGTCAAGACCCTTCTCCGCTAAGAGGTGGTGGTCATGGGGAAGATGCACCGGATGATTGGATCGCGCTAGACTTTCGTATCCGTGTGCTTGTAAAGCATGGATGAAGAGATTCAAGATGAACATCACGACATGTTCTCCTCTCTGCAGTAGGAGGAGTCTGTCAATTTTTCTCGACTTGTTTGATAAGTTGTAAGCTCGGCCATATAGTGTTCAGCCACATATTCGGCCACATATAGTGATCGGCCACCCCATCACAACGCATCACTCAGTTTTTAACGCCTACTATTATCAACACCACGCTTTCAAGATGGATGGCCGTGAGGAATCTATACAATCTGCCATTGATGATCTTCGCGCTGGTGTTTTTACAAGTCAGCGAAAGGCTGCTAAGGCCTATGGTGTTCCCCAATATACGCTCCAAGAGCGCATCAACGGTTGTCAACCCAACGCGATAGCTCACTCAAATCAATAGCGATTGACTTCGGAACAAGAGACCTTTCTATTAGATTCGATACTTGATGAGGACTCACGCGCACAACCCCCATCTCATCCGCGCGTACGAGAGATGGACACCCAAATCCTGCACATGACTGGTGACTACGAGCTTCTCGGGCAACTATGGGTACCCCATCTCATCGCCCGCAACCCGCGCGTTGCATCTATAATCAGCCAAACAATCGAGAGCGCACGGACTACAGCAGCCAATTATGAGACTATACGTGCCTTCCTAGAGCTGTTTGAACGGACTCGGGTAGAGCTGGGTACACAGTATGAGGATATCTGGAATACGGATGAGACTGGGGTTGCACTAGGGGCATGTACCAACGCCCAGGTGCTTGCTAGTTCATTAAAGAATGTAGCGGCGTGGGCCGCTGTGGTATACTGACAGCTACAGTAAACGATAACGTAGGACTATCGGGTCGATGGAATACTGCGCTGAGTTGCTATCTAGCTAGGAGACGAGGATATATACATGTCTTGAAACGTGCTAACTTTGAACCGTTACAGACGTGTGGGTCAGAGCTTATATGTGACTGATACCGCAACAAGTGTTGACATCCGCAACAAAGAAGGCTTGTATCAAATCTCCAGAGGAACGCAAGTGGGTATCTATCATCAAGACAATCTCAGCCACCGGCGTCAAGCTTCAGTGCCTAGTCATCTTCAAGGGCAAGCATCTACAATCTACCTGATTTCCCTGCGCAAGGTACTCTAGATTGGCTCTATACATCGTCAGAGAAAGGATGGACACCAAATGTGATCGGCTATGAATGATTGCAGCATATTTTTATACCAAGTACTTCACCATCAGCCCAGGGTTATCGTCTACTCTTTCTGGATGGCCACGGCTCCTATGTCCCAGTTGACTTCATGTGGCTTTGCAAGCTGAACAACAGGATACACCTACTGTACCTCCTGCCTCACGCCTCTCACATACTACAGCCTCTGGATCTCGCTCCATCCCCTGTAGTCAAGTCCAGGTACTGTGAGCACATCTGTTACTGCGTGAGCAGTGTCGGTCGGAGGCTGTGATCAATGATTGTATTGTTATCTGTGTTGTTCGGTGTTGTTCTTGTACAGGAGCTCTCGGCTCGGAGGTAAGTGCACTTGCTCTCGGGCAGTGCCTTCTTGTCACGGTTCAGGGTGCTCCTGCCTGTCGTACCTCACCTGCCATGAGAGTGACTGCCACGTCACACTAGCGTTGTTTACAGCTACCCACCTATACATACTGTTCGTAGCTTTACCCAATACAACCTCAGTCCAATCCTCCAATTCTTCCAACATGCGTACTGTTCACGATCTATCGCCGACAGAATAGCAATATGCGTCGCCTCGAGCTCTGCACGACTTTCATCATTTCCAAATCTTCTATCTCAATATGAACACCGCCGAACCGCTAATTGACTCTCTAGCAACCGATCTTTTTGTTGCTGACTACGATGTCATCGTACCAGAAGGTGTTAGTATCGCCACCGTAGCTCTCCCAGCCAAAGTATACTCCAATTGGCTTCGGCTTTATACTGCTCCTTTGCCACTGCGCAGCATTTGGGTTGCTCACCCCTGGCTTGGACGTCAATCCTGCGATAGCAGTGCCATTGAACCAAGTCTCAATGCTTCCGTCGGTGCCGATGTGGTACTCGAGGCAGCACCAGGTGTTAACTGGGATGGAGACGGATGATGCAATGCCTTGAGGTGAGAGGTCCGGAAGAGTTGCATCATCAGATTCGCGATTGTACATCAGGATCTTTGACTGGCCACCAATGCGCAGGTGCTTGTTGGTACCTTGGGCTGGGTCTGGATGAGTGATGAAGGTAACGTGGGAGTCGGTGAACGCCTTCGCAGCTTTGCTATCATTGCGGTGAGTTTCTTGTGCTGAGACGGCTTCAGGCATCCTATGAATGAAGACTTACAAGTACGTTCTGACGTAGGTATCACCAGTAGGCACCTTGTTTGTGCCTACGAAGACGTGGCCGCAATAGCCACCAGCGCCATCGACCCTGATGGAGTTCTTGCCTGTGTGGGCAGTCGTGGTGTCCAACGCGATCTTTCCACCTTGGTTGCAGTCAGGCGCGTATGTCGTCCAAGTAGATTGGTTCCACCCTGACTCAAATCCCTCCGAGATCTGAGCAACGGCGAGAGGCGCAAGCGCAAGCGCGAAAAGAGGAGTCTGGCCAAGCATCTCTGCTGTTCTAAAAGTGAAAAGACTGAAGTTGTGTGGAGATGGGACAAGCTTTTAAGAGCACAAGGTGAAGTATTTCAAGTGCTTGAATTACGCAGGTGGTTTCAAGCTCATCTATTTGTTGTCTCCCTGCAAAGTGGTGTTCATTACTTATGGTCAGGGAAGGCACTATATCTGCAACACCAATTTGGATCTTCGGAAGTCAAACCCCAGAGCCGCGATCTTCGCGCTGGTGATCAGCCGCGCCTAAATCGTTTAGCAGTTTCACTATAGTCGAATTTAGCCATTAGATCATGTTGGCAGCAGGACATCGTCAAGATCTGTAAGCACTCATTAACAGGAATTCGATGCAATCACCGGAAGGAGACAGCAAATGGAACCTGCGAGGTGCAACATTTACAAGAACGAACGCGAAGGTACTGCAGCCCCAAGCCACTCCTTCACCCAACCTTCGATTCTGTAGCGGCGTGGGCCGCTGTAGAATACTGATATCTACAGTAAACGATAACGTAGGACTGTCGGGTCGATGGAATACTGCGCTGAGTTGCTATCTAGTGAGGAGAAGAAGACTATATACTGACTCTGGAACATGCTAGTCCAGAATAGTCTAAGCAAGGGTAATAGGGTCTTGTATGGGCCGACTAATACCGCAACAGATCCAGCAACCCCGAAGAGGCTCCAACCCAGCCAAGGTAGGACTAATATCAGATGTCTTCTCCATAGATAATGTCAGACTGAGACCTCTCGCTGCGCCCTTCCCCAATCTTGCGTAAAAGTCGATGAGCCTAACATTAGGGATCGTACGTACAAGCGTCACATGGTCAATGTGCATGTCCACCTTGGCCTTCAAGATTGACATCCATTCTGCATATGGCACCACTCGTATGAGCTCTTTCGCAAGATCTGAGTTCTCAATAGTCCTCTTGATAAGCGGCAGGATTGAAGTCCATGTCACCGGATGGGGATGCACGACGTGATTGACAGTTGCACCACAGGTTCCCGGTGGATTATGCCTGGGTGCCAGTGCGAGGTCCACAAGCACGTCGGCCAGATGGTCAATCGGTACCCAATCCACCTTGTCCGCAACGCATAACGTAGCTGGGGAGAACGCTCAAGAGCGCAGAACCCGCAACAAGGCCAGGGATCCACTCCTGTTGGTTCCAGCCACTGGCAGTTCGCGCAGCGCCTGCGACTTCACCGATGCGGACAACGCTAGCAGTGATGCCTACTGACTTGCTGGCGTGATCTAGGAGGCGTTCTGCAAGGTACTTGGATTGTCTGTAACCTGCAGCCATAGGTGCTGATAAGTCCAACACAATCTCCTCTGGTACCGTGTCCGTGCGCGTGATGGGCCAGTTCGCGTGATGGGCCACCCCACCAACTTTCAGAGGTTTTTTGTACCCCCCCCCCTTCCATGCCACGATGCCTGTGAAGGAAGCCCTATCAGAGATAAATAGTTTGAGACCTGGAGAACAGTTTTTGTACTGGGCTCTTGCCAAAAAACATGGTGGTTCCTAATCAATGTTGATGCGTCAACACTATGGCCAAGTTGTCCCACATCACAATAAAGTAGTTGCTCAATGCCTGTTACACCCACGCAATGAGGTAGAGATTGTAGAGTACATCAGAGGCCTCACAGAGAGACACCTTCCACCTACAAGGCAAATGATGAAGAATTTTATCAATCCAGTAACTGGGAGAGAGCTGTCAGATAGCTGGGTTAGTTGCTTCCTTTGATGGAACCAAGACACTCTCATCACTGCCTGGAGTACTCCTATGGAAACAAGCCGCCACAATGCTGATTCTGCCACTAGGTACCACCTATACTTTGAGCTTCTGCACCAGAAGATAACTGAATACTCAATTGAGCTGGCTCACACGTACAATATGGATAAGAAGGGCTTTGCTATTGGGTCAGTGGAAAGAGCAAAAGAGTGTTTGATAAGCTCCTCTTTGGCAAGAGGCAGTATAAGCAGTCAACCCATGATGCCAATCAGAAGTAGGTGACGGTGCTGGCAGCTATATGTGTGTCACGGGCATATACTATTTGTGTCATACTGACACGGCTTGCAGCCAACCAGTCCTTATACATCTGTCAACCCCTATTACCCCTATCTGTCAACCCCTATTACCCCTATCTGTCAACCCCTATTACCCCTATCTGTCAACCCCTATTA